TTTTTTTTGGTGGTTCATTGGAGATCAGAGTCTCACCCACGTTCCTGCCCCAGGCTTGGTTTTGAACCTCCATCTTCAGATCTCAGCCTCCTGAGTAGCTAGGATGACAGGTGTGAACCCCTAGCACCCAACTATGAGATTTGGGAGTGGGGGGGGGGGACACCAAAGTTCCGACCTGGGAAATAAAGAATGGGCTGCAGCCAGGCACCGGTGGCTCAAGCCTGTCATCCTAGCTACTCAGGAGGCTGAGATCTGAGGATCACAGTTCAAAACCAAGCGTGGCAGAATGTCTGTGAGACTCTGATCTCCAATGAACCACCAGAAAAACAGAAGTGGCGCTGTGGCTCAAGTGGTAGAGCGCTGGCCTTGAGCTGAAGAGCTGAGGGACAGCGCCCAGGCCCAGAGATCAAGCCCACGACCAATAAAAAAGAACTAAAGAATGGGCTACAAGACCAGGGATGGTTTGACTCGTGGCTCACCTTCAGCAGCAGCAATGTCCCTCTTCACGTCCACACCTGTGGCTCTTCTGTCAGTGTTATGTTCCATTGCAAGATAAATTCCATTTCATAATGGAGCGCTCTCACCCATAAAGGGGAAGTTGGTGATGGCTCTCTTACTCTCATTATGACTGTAGCTGACTCGAAAGCTACCCACTCCTACTCTTCCCCTTTCCTCCTCCAAGAAACCAACTCAAAGTCTCTCACAGGGATTATATGAAGAGCCCCTATCTTTACCTTAGGCCCAGGCCCATACCAGTTGGGCCCCACTTTCTTCAAATATCTGTGATAGAAATCTTGGTCTGCTAGTGGCTCATGCCTGTAATCCTAGTGGCTCAGCAGGCTGAGATCTGAGGATCATGGTTCAAAATCAGCCCAGGGAAGGAAAGTCTGTGAGACCTTTATCTCCAATAAACCACCAGAAAACTGGAAGTGGGTCCGTAGGTCAAAGTGGTACAGCATAAGCCTTGAGTGGAAAAGCTCGGGATCAGCACCAAGGCCCTCAGTTCAAACCTCAAGACTGACAAAGGCAGGGCTGGAGGCATGACCCAAGTGGTAGAGCACCAGCCGAGCAAGCAAGAGAGTCTGAGTAGCCCAGTACCCTCCACCCCCCAAATGGAAGTCTTGTTAGATGATGTCTGATTTAGCTAATAGATAAAAGAGTCAAAACTCAGAGAAAGTTTCCTTCTAAGGAAACCAGTGCTGAGACTCCATATATTGAATTGTCTGTCCTTTTTTTTTTTTTTTTTGGTCGGTCATGGGGCTTGAACTCGGGGTCTGGGCGCTGTCCCTCAGCTCTTCAGCAGGAAGATGAGCGCTCTACCACTTGAGCCACAGCGCCAGTTCTAGCTTTTTTTGCTTATGTGGTGCTGAGGAATCAAACTCAGGGGCTCATGCATGCAAGGCAAGCGCTCTACCACTGAGCCACTTTCCCAGGTCCTGTATATCACCTTTAAAACAACAATAATTGAGGGTAGAAAGAAATAAAAAGACTTTCTCAGGTGGGCACTGATGGTCCACGCCTGTCATCCTAGCAACTCAGGAGGCTGAGATCTAAGGATTGAGGTTCAAAGCCAGCCTGGGCAGGAAAGTCTATGAGAATCTTATCTCCAATGAACCATCACCAAAGAAAAAGGACTGGGAATGTGGCTTAGTGGTAGAGTGCTCACCTAGCAGGCTTGAAGCCCTGGGTTTGATTCCTCAATACCACATACATAGAAAATGTTGGGAGTGGCACTGTGGCTCAAGTAGAGTGCTAGCCCTGAACAAAGGCCCAGACCCTGAGTTCAAGTCCCAAGATAGGAGGAGGAGGAAGAGGAAGAAGAGGAGGAGAAGGAGAAATAAAAATAAGTAAGTCCAGAAGTGGATGCTAGCCTTGAGCAAAGGCCCAGGACCTGAGTTCAAGTTCCAAGATTGGAGGAGGAGGTGGAGGAGGAGAAATAAAAATAAATAAGTCCAGAAGTGGATGCTAGCCTTGAGCAAAGGCCCAGGACCTGAGTTCAAGCCCCAGGACTGGAAAAATGGAGGCGGAGGAGGAGAACTGGAGGAGGAAGAGCAGGAAGAGGAAGAAGAAGAAGGAAGTAGAAGAAGAAATAATAAATAAGGCCAGAAGTGGATGTTAGCCTTGTGCAAAAAAAAAAAAAAAGCTCAGACGCAGAGCCCAGGCCTTGAGTTCAAACCCCAGGACCGACACGAATAAAAATAAAAAGACAGACACACAGACCACACAGATTCCCCCCTCCCTCCCCACCCCCTTTTTTCCCCCCCTGTCACAAACTGGGGTGCATCTGACAAACCCATCTAGGGGAAGGGTACACAGTCTCCCCCCCCCTCACAGGGACCTGGAGCTCACCAAACACCAGGAGGAGGAGGAGGAGGAAGTGGGGTGCACTGAGGCCCAAGGATTGCCCAGGGCACACCCCCTCTTTCCACCTCCCCCCACTTCCCGCCCACCGGGGACGGATCAACCAACCAGCCACAGGCGTAGGCTGTGCGCACGCGCGTGCGAGCGCACGGCCCGCTGTCCCCGCCTCCGCCCGGAGGCCACGCCCACCAAGGGGCGGAGCTTCGCGTTGAGGGGGCGTGTCCTGCGGCACCGCCCCGGGAAGCTGTGCCAGAGGCTGG